CCATGTCCCTTGGGTTTCGTCCCCGGCCTCAGGTGGGGAGCAGCATACCCAGTAAACCCTCCCAGCTGGGTGCCTGTAGGCTGGCAGGGCAGTTAATGCCATCCCAAATGCCACCTCCTCCCCTTTGCCCAAGGTGCGAGCAGCCGGAGCTGTGCAAGCGGTGGCGGCCCGAGCCCGTCCAGCAAAGCCGTGAGGCCGCCGCTTGTGCCCTCGCTGCCCCTCTCCCGCCACGAGGGCCAGCACTGCCGGCTCTCCCTTGCTCCCCGAGCCCTGCTGTGGCCCCCACTCTGCCCCCCCGGTGCTCCCCAGCTGGGGACATGCGGCCGCCACCGCAACGGTGCCGTGCCCGCCAGCTCCTCACCTCAGCAGCAGGACAATCAGTGCTCTTTGGGATTGCAGCAATCAGTCTGCGCCGCACCACACTGGACTTTATACTGCCCTGAAAGCACGTCACCCACCCCCTCCCAAACAGCCTTGCTCCTTCCACGACTCGCCCAGTAAACACCGCAGGTGTGTCCAGCCTGGCTCACACCCACCCGCATCCACCGCCGCGGCTAAGCATCCCCCGGGGCCAGCCCCGGGGCTACTGCAGCGCCGCGGCACGGCCAGCCCCCCAGGATGCTCCCCGGGGAGATGTCTGGTCCCCGTGGCCCCACTCCCCTGCTGTGAGCATCCTCCCCGCTGCATTCCTTGCAAGCCAGGCACATGCACCGCGCCGGAGCCGTGCTCTCCACCAAGGGGATGACTTGAGTACCCCCAGCTCTTGGAGCACCTTGATCTGGTGCTTCAGGCTGCCGGCTGATTTACCAGCCAATACCCAATACCCAGATTCAATGTGTAAAAGTGCAGCCGGGAAAAGGCAAACAGCCTGTCAACGATTAACTCGGCTGGCCCGCTTCAAGGTCCCGCTGCCCAGCACCCCGTGCGGGACATGGCGACCCTGCCGCTCATCCTGGGCCCCGGGGCCGGGCTGCGGGAGCCTGCACGCCGTCCCTCGCATGAGGGTGACCGTGGTGCCCGCGTCTCCCGCATGGGGACGGCAGGGTGGCACTGTGGAGCGGCTGGGGTCGCAGCGGGGCGGGGGTCGGTGGGCAAAGAGATACCGGCGGTGGCCGGCGGTGCAGGGCTGGTTGGGGCCATCAGGGCCACAGTCCCAGTCTGATAAACCGCCACACCTGAGTCAGCAGCGCCGGCGAGGAGCGGCACCGCCCGGATCCCGCACCTGGACGTGTCCTGGGGGTCAGCGGAGGGCAGACTGCGGGAGCAAGGGGCTATAGTGGGGCCAGGCTGGCGCGATCAGGCTGGGTGGGGGTCACTGAGGGCGATCAAGAGGAGGGCAGACTGGTGAGCACTGGGGTGGGCTGAGCTAAGTGGGACGAAGCACAGTAGGAGAGGGGTCCCTGGGAGGCAGTCTCAGGGCCTTACTGGAGGTCACTGGGATTACTGGGAGCCAGGATAGGGGTGACTGGAGAGCTCTGGGAACCAGGATAGGGGTGACTGGAGGGCCCTGGGACCCAGGCGGGAGGTCACTGGGGATTACTGGGAGCCAGGACAGGGGTGGCTGGGGGGCGGTGGGAGCCAGGCAAGGGGCGACTGGGAATTACTGGGAGCCAGGATAGGGGCGACTGGGGGGCGCTGGGAGCCAGGCGACGGGTCGGCGGGGATTCGGGGGTGGTCGGCGGGGGGCTCGGGGTGGTCGCCGGCCGTGGCAGCAGGTGGCGCTGCGGGGCCGGGTCGGGGGCGGCGGGGCCGCACCTGCCCGCGGCAGCAGCGGCGGGGCTCAGCGTGGGAATCATCTAAAATATAGTAAAAATGGATTAAAAAAAAACCAAAAAAACAACAACAACAGGAAAGAGGAGGAGGAACTCGGGGCGTTGCTGTCCAGCACGGTGCCCGCCCGCTGTCCTTGCAGGGAGGTGCTGGGAGGAGCAGAGGTCCCAGGGGTGGGCGGGAGCGCGGGCAGCTCCAGGTTAAACTGCAAAAGCCATCGGTGAAGGACGGGCTGTACCAAACAGCCGTGGCCGGCGCTGCCTCCAGTACTCAGAAAACTGCCCCGCCCGCCACCACGTGGGCCAGAAATGAGCTCCTTGTTAATGACGCTAATTGTGGAGTTAATTGGTGTCTGAAGTTGCAGCGGAAGAGTTCAAAGACGTGGGCAGTGTAACGCAGATAAGCTGATGAGACGGGCAGGACTGGGGCAGGACTGAGTCAGCGTGCGGATGGTGGGACTGAGGTGACGCAGCTGCTGGCATTCTGCTAGGGTCGGAGAACTCGCAGTCCAGCAGTCTGTATGGGTATGATGGACGAAATCAAGCTTGAACCACCATTGAAACATCTCCACTGTCAGGAGGGCTGCAGAGGAGACTTCCAGAGTCTCCTTTCCCCAGCCGTTCTGCTCCAGGCAGGGCTGGCCCTGTGAATGGCTCAGCCTCGTCACTGGATGGCCACTGCAGTGCAGGGGCTGCTGGGTTCCAGGCTTCGACTGGCAGCAGGACAGGCATCCCTGGATCCAGGCTGCTGTTCTCAGAGAGACAAAACCCTCTGGTCTGAGTCAACTGCCAGGAAGGTCACTGGCAGTGGGTGAGCACAGAAATCCTTTGTGCTGCTGCAGCACAGGGCAGAGGGGGTTGCAGCCTAAGACTTAACAGCTTGTTCCGCCTGCCTGTGAGTCTGCTCTCCTGTGTCCTGGGTGCATCAGAGGTGTGGGGAACAGGACCAGGGCACTATCCCAGTGATGCTTCTGTGAAGAGCAGCATCCCTGCCCTCCTCCTGGCTGTGACTCCTCAAGCAGCCAGAGGCCACCCACAGGTCACTCACTCCCTCCCATGCCAGGGACACCTTTGCAGTAGAGTTCCCTTATGGCTCTCCTTGCCAACAGCCCTAAACATGTCCCCTGAAGCAGAGGATATCCCACAGCTGTCACGCAGATGTAAACTGTTCATGCCCTCTGGGATACAGTGTCCCTTGAGCTTTGCCAGGTCTCCAAAGGAAAACTTGTTGATGGTCAAGGACACCCTGGACAGATGGCAGCCTCAGGAGTTTTGCAAAGGCAGTAGCATAATAGCAGTGGGTTGTCTGTCACCAGCTTGCCTTGGGGTCCTAGCTGGGTTGGCCATGCTGGCACATGTGGCAGCGTGCAGCTGGGGCTGTGCAAGGATGAGAAGAGGGGACAGAAAGGCAGGGCAATCCCCTAATCTGAGGCAGAACGCCATCACCCCTTCAAGAGGGCACTAGGCACCCTGTGGGGTGCCACAATGGGCAGCACCAGGGCTTTTAGGGGGGTCCAGCACAGGGTCTGGAGCACGGTGGTGGACAGGTTGACATGTGCACGTGGCACTGGAGCTGCAAAAGTCCCCCGTGGGGAGAAGGGCAGAGCCCCACACTCAGCTTCCTGCACAGCCTGTCTCCCTGCCTGCCCCAGCTCCCCTGGCTAGGGGCCTCGGCCCTGGCTCCAGTATCTGCACGCTGCCTGGAGGCAATTCAGCCCCCCCACTCTGCTCCTGGTTTCCATGGCAACGCCAGTTGAAATTACATTAAAAAGAAATGAAACCAGCAGCTTTTCTCTTTGGCAAATAGGGGGAGGGGAGCTCAGCTGGGAAAGGCTGGGGAAGGGGTTTGAAGCTGGGAGGGAGGGGGCTGTGGGACAGCTGCATTCCCACATGGGATCCCAGTGCTGGGGGCAGCAGGGCTGGGGGGATGTGGGGACACACATGGTGCTGGCAGTCCTGGATGGTGTGGTGCCAGCTTGCATGTGGGGGTCCAGCACCCTGACATGGTGGGTGATACCAGGGTCCTCCTCCTGTGTGCCTCTGGGGGGGTTGGCCAGGGACATGAGGCCCAGCACAGCGCACCCCACCCAGCCCGGTGGTCCCCGGGCCCTGCATGCTCCAAGAAGAGGCGAGACACACCGCTATTAAAAATATCACTTCTGTTTTATTTGGAATTTGTTACTCTGCGCGGGTGACAGGGTATAAATACATTCTCCAACGAGCATCCTCACCCTCAGCCCTGCGCGGGGAGGGGGCCGGGGCGGGGCGCAGGGCTGTTGCTGTGCTGGCCCCGGGCAGCAGGGCCAGCGGGGCCATCGATGCGCTGGCCCCGGGCAGCAGGGCCAGCCGGCACCGGTGCGTCACGGCCGCCAGCACGGGCAGCGTCTGCCAGCCGGACCGTCTTGCACAGGGACAAGATATGGTGTCCCCACAAGGACCTGTCCCTTTCTCCTGCCTCCCCAGGCCCCAGGTGCTAGTGCTCACCCTGGGGGCTGAGACTGGGGTACCCACGTGGGATCCCCTGCAGCTCCTTCTCCATGCCCGACCACACCAAAGCCACTTGCCTAGAGCCACGTGTGGCTCGGTGGCCACAGCAGATGCCCCAGCCCCAGCACACGTGCTCCCAGCCCCACACAGGCTGCATCACCCCCACAGTCCCTACCCAGGCATCTGTTCCAGCTGCACATCCTGGATGCCAGAGCTGGGGTCACCCCAGGATGGGGTGAAGGTCCCAGTGGAAGCAACCTAGGAGGCAGAGTTGATGCTGGTGAGCAGCTCACCCTGCTCCTGTCACCCCACTCCTGCCGCAGGCTGCAAACCACTGGCTCTGCTTTTGGGCAACAAGCATGGGCAGGGAGGGCACAGCACAGCCCTGGGGCAGTGGTGAAGGGATGTGGGATGCTCCTGGGGGAGCAGGGCAGGGTGAGGAGCACGAGGGGCTGTCCTGGGTTCATGGGAGTGAACAGACAGTGCTCGGAGCAGGTGATGCCCACACGGGGCGGTGGGTGGCACTGGCCAGTGTGGCAGTGAGGGACCGGGGCGGGGGTGCTCGCAGGCAGGCCGTTGGATGGGCTTTTTGGCTGAGATACGTGGGCACGGGTGACAGAGGAGGGAGAATATCAAAAAATACAAAAGAGCGCAGCCCCACAGTGCAGGAGGCACTGCCCTGCCTGGTGCCCACCCACGGCAGGCGGGCGCCATGGGGGGCCGGCACCGTGCGCACACGCTGGCTTCTAACTGGCTTTTTATTTTATATCAAGAACACTTGGTTTTAAAATCTTTACAAAGGACAAAACGCGGCGACTCCGTTAGTGTGTAAAGAACTAAAGATCTGCTTAAAAAACGTCTCTGCAAAGAGAAATGACTGACACAAAAGAGATTCTCTGCAGCGCAAAGAGGGGCAGAGGTGCCAAGTCTCCAGCTCAGGGCCCCATTCCCAGGGTCCCTGAGCCCCGGCACCAGCCCCAGCGCCTGCATCCAGCACAAGGCCAGGTCCCTGGACTCTGCCCGTTCCCTCTGCCTATAGCACCATGGCCTGGGGCCACTTCTCAGCACAGTGAAGGAGCCTTTTCCAGGGCCGCCAAGATGCCTGGGGATGACTGGGCACTGGCTGAGAGGAATGCCCGGTCCCGCTCCTTGTCAGTCCCAGGGTGCTCGGTGGGCTCAGCACCGGGGATGTGATCGCCCCACTGGGAGGCACAGCCACGGCATTGGGAACCCCGTGGCCACTGACAGTGGGGTACCCCTGCCCACCTGCACGGGTGGGCTGTGCAGGACTACACCGTGTCCCTCCTGCACCCCACTGGCGTCCCGGGGCAACCCACGGGGTCCTGAGGCCAGGAGAGTCAAAGCACTTCTCAAAAGTTAGATAGGAACAAAAGAAAGCGCTGGGGCCACTCTGGGACCCCACAGGTCTCTGGGCTGGGAGCTGCACCGTCCGTGGGCGCTGCCCCTCCGTCCGGGGGCTCCGTGGGCCCCGCCGGTCCCTCTGCCAGTGTCTGCTGCGTGTGTGTGCGTGCGTGCATGCGTGTGCGCCGGCGGCGGGCAGCTATACCCTGGTGGTGGAGTGTGAGTGCGGAAGCCCCGTGCTGTTGAAGCCGGCGGTGAAGGTGTTGTAGGGGTGCAGGGTCTGCAGCCCCACCAGCGAGTTGGGGATCATGGTGATGGTGTTGGGGGTCATAAGCGGGATGTCGTCCGGAGAGCGGCGCAAGGTGAGGGTGTAGTCGGGCAGAGCGGCCAGGCGCAGGGTGTCGTGGGATGGCACAGCTTCGCACTCGTGGTGCCCCTGGCTCACCTGCAAGGAGGGCATCTCCTCATCAGGGGCGTGGGCGATGTCGTTGGAGGCACCGCGCTGGGGGCTGGGCTGCCGGTGCGTGTCCTGCCGGCGCTTGTCCTTGCGGTAGTAGAGGGCTGCGAAGGCCAGCACGTTGAGGAAGAGGAGGGAGGCGCCCACGGCGATGGTGACGCTCAGTTCGGTGGAGTAGTCACGGGGGCTCTCGAGCAGCGTGCCCGCCTCTTGCTCTGGGCTCCACTTCTCCTTCCCGTTCTCGCTGTTGTAGGCGGGCGAGATGGCGGGGCGCTTGGTGGTCCAGATCTTGCTGTTGGGCCGACGGGTGATGTGGGAGTTCTGTGTGGTGTCGGGTGGTGGCACTTTGGTGGTGGTGGAGGTGTAGTGGAACATATCGTGCAGGTTGTACAGGTGGGGAACCAGGTGCTTCCAGAAAGCCACCTTGGTGGCCCGGTAGTGGTCGCGTACCCGTGGCTTCAGCCCGATGTGCAGGTACAGCTGGTCACGGGGGTTATACTTGGACCAGGCCACCTCCTCAAACCGGTTGGCCTTGGTGTGGATGAACTTGGTGTCCTGGGGGACAGGCTTGTTGGGGTCCCTGTGAAACACAGGCAGAACAGAACTAGCACTGGGAAAAGCCAAAGAAACAAAGAGGGAGAGCTGAATGCAGAGACAGAAACTGAGGGGATCTTTGCCAGTGGCGGCACAGGTTGGGCTGGCAAAAGGTCTTGAATGACTGGGCAGCACCCAACCCTGGCTCATGTCTCACCCAAGATAACCAGGGCCAACAAGCCTCCCCACCCCTGCGGCTTGGCTGGGTCTTCTCCCAGGCGCTGGCCATGATCTAAGCTTCTTGCTTTGTGGTTGATACCATGGCCCCAGTGAAGGTGCAGCACACAGGGACCTCTGGGCACAGGGAGCTCAGTGTCCTACACTGGGCATGATTAACCCCCTCACCACCACAGCACAGCCCCAGGGAGTACAGCTGCAGTGAGTGCAGACCCCCGAGGCACGGCACCCATCCCCACTCACCCTGTCTTGGCAAAGTTGGTCCAGTAGGTCATCACCACAGCGCTGAGCATGACGTCGTTCTTGGAGAAGTTGCAGGGAAAGAGGTCTGTGGGGCCAATCATGGGGATCCCAAACACGTAAGGCACCTCATCCCCGTGGGCTGCATCGGACCATGCAGGCTTCATCAGGCTCTGGCAGTGGTGGTAGAAGGCGTAGAAGTAGGTGGGGGAGCCATAGCGGGCGTGCAGGTCGGCCGTCACCACTGATGGCTCTACCCACTGGTGGTCAGTGAAGAGGGCCACCAGAGTCTTGCGGCGTGTCTCGGGGTTGTCCCGGTCAGCCCAGTCCGTGTACATGAACTTGATGGTCTCCCTCAAGGTGTCCTTGCCCTCAGGGTAGCCATACAAGTTGTCTACAAAGTTGGAGACTGAGTAGTCAAAGTCACTGCCCGAGACGCCGTCCTCAGGGTCCACCACGCCCTCCACAAACTTCAGCCCTTCACCCTGGTTGACCCCCAGCATGATATCATAGTTGAGGAACTCGCCCTGCTCCATCAGGATCTCTGGGTCGTCCGGGATCACGTCCCCATCAATGACTGGCCCGAAGGCCACGTGGTAGCGGGCTGGCTGGATGTCTTGCTCTACCAGCTCCTTGGCACTCTTCTGCCGCAGGCAGTCCACCATGTCCACGGTGTCCAGCACATTGCAGCCCACCTTGTCAGCCAGCATGCTGGTGTACTTCACAGGCTGGTAGTTCACTGCCCAGCTGGAGAGCGCGGAGCCGCTCTGGATGATGGCTCTCTGGAAGAGACCTGCAATACAGGCAGGGAGTGGAGGAAGCTCTCAGCAGGGTTCCAGCATCCCAGTGCTGCACTGCAGGATGCAGCATGGAGAAAGCATTGATGCTCTTGTGCCCCTGCAAGGACCCAGCACTCCAGCCCACACGCGGCCTTGTCACTGAGCTGTGCTGCCTGCTGAGCTGGGCTCACACAGCGGGCTCAGCTCAGGGCTGCTGTGGGGATGGCAGGATGACAGCTGGGAATGCAAGTGGGTGCTCCCGGAATCAACCAAGGGCTGCTGTACTCCCTGAGAATCCCATTGCAGGGGATGACCCAGCATCCCTGTCCTGGTGTGGGGAGAAGAGGGGCCATGGTTGCATCACGGCCTGGCCTTGCCAAGCAGCCTGTGCTACCCTAGCCACCCCAAGGATGAGTTGCCTGGGCCCCTGAGGGGCACACGCTGCCCTGGCTCGGCAGCATCCTCCAGCCCAGGTTGGCACCTGCTCCACTGTGGAGCCAGGCTGTGGGCTGGCAGCAGTGGGAGGGTTAATGCCTGCTTGGGGACACTTAACCCTGCCGTGTCCCACCCCAGCGCTTTGTCAGAGTCCCCCTCCACCCCCTCCCTGCTGCTTCCTGCCCAGCTGGGGCTGCTCAGTGCCAATCCGGCCCTGCAGGAGCACGCTGCCAGATGCACAAAGAGGGCCTTTCTGCCACCAGGAACACAGAGGGAGTGGACTTTCGCCCTGGAAAACGAGGCCACAAAGGCCCTGGCCCAGGCAGAGAAATGCGTGGCTTCGCTCCAGTCCCATGTCAATGGTGCTTGTGCTCAGAATACAAAGGGTGGTGAGGAAGCAGAGCCTCTGGGCCCTGAAAGGCAGCCAGTCCGGGGTGCACCCAGGGGTCCCTGCTCTCCGACCAGCCCTCTTTGCACCCCAAGTGCTGCCTGCTCCCCTGCCAGACCCCAGCACTTGCTTTCCGTGAGGGACTGTTCCAGGTGACCCCTGAACGGTGCTGGCACAGCAGTGTGGTGCCCATGGGGCTGCCCCTGGCACCCTGAAATGCAGAGAACCCCTGTGCAACCAAGGCTCTGCCACTCTGCAGGGAAGCAGACCAGCACCTTCCTGCAACAGAAGTGTTCAGAGGCTCCTGGCTCCCAGCCACCATGTCCACAGCCCTTGTCTGCACGCACAGTCCTCACTCTGCCAAGTACCTGACGTACAGTCCCATGCACTGGGACAAAGAGAAGTCACAAGCTCCGTTTGTCACCTCCTGGTGCCCTAGAAAGCCATACCCAGCCTACAGGCTGGAGACTGGCCATGGGTTTGCTTGCTCTGCGCCATCATCCACGTGCCAAGGAGCCAGGATGGGGTTTCCTGGCTCCCTGGAGATGCTGTCCCAGCAGCAGCTATTGCGCCCTGCCAGCAGCATCACTTCCCAGACAGACCCACCAGGCTGGGCTCTGGCCCTGCCCACCACTGCCTGGGGAAGAACAGGGCAGCTGATGTCACTATCAGCTGGTCATGTCCCTGATGGAGCCCCTTTGCCATGTCTCTGCATGGCCACATCCTGACCCAGGAGGAGCCAGGACTCTGTGAGAGCCCGGACTCGTCAAGTCCTCCCGCTCCATGCCAGCACCTGACTGAAGCCTGACAAGTACCAGGGGGGCACCAGCACCCTGCACTCCACATTGGACCTCTCCAGCCTGCTGAGGCCCAGAAAGAAGGCGAAGTTCTGCCTTTCCTTCCTGTTCCCCTCCACGGTGAGGGTCCCAACACACCCAGCCTCATGCAGGACTGGCTGCCACAGGGTAGTGGAATCAAGTGCTGGGGCCAGGGCTGTGCCAGAAGGTGGCTGGGGATGCAGACTGCCACCAGCTGCTGCCAGATCCTGATTTCCTCTTTGCTTTGCCCAGTAGCTGAGACTGGAAACATTTCTGGGGGTGTCTGGGCCAAGCCCTGCTCAAAGCAGGGTGCTGGGTGCCTTGTCCAGTTGAGATCTGGAGGGCTGACTGCAAAGGGCAGAAGCCCCCACGGAGAAGATGGGGCAAATGAAGCACTTAAAGTTTGCCTGGCACAGACTGCTCCTGCCCTGGTATGGCTGGCTGGAGAGAAAAATGGCACTTTGGTCACTGATGAGAAATCAGAGTGACCCTACAAGGCCTGAAGCTGGCAGGGAGCTGTGGATTTCCCCAGCAGCCAGTGTGTGCTGTACCAAGTCTCCAGTGTCTGTCTCTTGCAGCACCTGGTAGAGCAGACACAAATCAGCAGCTTCATTAATAGCTTGTGATCAGTAGAAGTTTTATTTTGATGCAGTAAAAACAAACCCACCTGTTCTGCAAGCTGCAACTTAGCACTGCTCCAGAGCCAGCTACACATCCCTGGGGATATGGGTGCTCTGGCACAGGGAATTTTTTGAGGTCATTTTACGGCCGTTTGGCTTTATGAGACACTGGCTGCAGCACTGAGCACTCCCCTCCTGCCTCACAGCATTCACAGCCAGCAGCATCTCCCCTGCCCCAGCAGCGAGGGCACCCAGCACCTCTGAGTGCAGGGGGGCCACACCAGGGGCACTGGGGCTGCATGGGGCAGCAAAGGATTCGCCATGCATGTGCAGGGCTTAGTGGCGTTGTGTAGCATCACCTGAGAAGTGCATATACTGGCAGGACTATTTTTCATGGCTGAAAAGTCACAAGGAGCAGCCCTTCCAATCCACCCTCAGCCTCTCTCCATGCTGCTCCAGTCTGGACCCCTGCAAGAGGCTGGGGCCACCTGGGCAGCCAAGCACACACTCCTGCACTCCTATGATGGAAAGGAGTACCCTTAGAAGCATTGAGAATGCATTACACATAGTGTTCCCTCTCCAGCCTTTCACACTCAATATGGGCAGAGAAAACACTTTTTCCTTCTGCAGGAGCTTTCAGCCTGTAAAAGACTCCCCATCATCAGCCATCAGCCCTGCTGAGGTTCCGGAGGTCTCCATTCCTGTGTGATTCCCAGGCTGTTGAGCAGGGAAGCAGCTCTTCAGCTTCGAGTGCAATTTGCTGTGTGCTTCTGAAGGACAGACTCATGCCCATGTCCGCTGCTCACACATGTCCTTTTCTCCTCAGCACCACACCTGGGGACACAGCACTGGAAGATGGCTGCACCCTCATATAAAGCTCGTGAACAGGTCCCTGGCAGGCTGCTCCCCTGTGGACTATATCCAGTTCAGCCTTTGTTCCTATAATTTCCTGTAGGAAATTTATCAAAAACACCTCCAGTCTCACAGTTAATTTTTCTCCCCCTCAGTACTTGATGTAAATGTCTTTGCAGGTGGTTTACATGCATTTGCTCTTATTCCAACACAGTCTTTTAGCATAAATAATTCCCTTCTTTATTTAGAGTAAACACTCTGCTATATTTACAGATATTAATCATATTACTGTGTTTTGCTAAGTGCAGCACTTCCAGCTCTGCCAGTCTCACAACACAGGGCCCTCCATCCCTCCCCGGGCTCAGGAGGGATGTCTGGGGTGCTCTGTCTTCCCCTCTATTCCAGTGTGAATTCCTTTCCTAGCACTGAGATCAGTGCTAGGAAAGGTATTCCCAGTGCCCTGCATGATGCCCAGCTGCACTAGGAACACCTGAGCACCAGGGCAGGACACCACAGGAGGGGTCCCCACCTCTCCCCATGCCAAGGGGAGGCCCTGGGCTGCAGCCTTGTGCAGGGGGAGCACCCACTCCATCCCACTTGCTCTGCCGTGGCCTCCTTCTGCCCCTGATGAGAAGGTTTTGCCTCCCAGCCTGGTCCAGGCTCTCAGCAGTGACTGATTAGAAAGCAGCCCTGATTTTTTAGGCCGGCAGCAGGACGCGGGTGGGCTCCCCTCCCGGGTTAGCATCAGCAGCCTCAGGCGCGGTGACACCTACCTTCCGAGTGGTGCGAGAGGGTGAGCAGGCTGACGCAGGAGGCGCCGATGCCCGAGCCGAAGACGGTGATCCGCAGGGGATCTCCCCCGAAGAAGGCGATGTTCTCGCTGACCCAGCGCAGCGCCTGGATCTGGTCCAGCAGCCCGTAATTGCCCTTGGCAGCCTGGTCCCCCGTGCTCAGGAACCCTGAGGGCCAAGGGGAGCCCGGTTAGGGATGAGGAAACAGGCAAAGTCCTGATTTCCCACCCCCCTTCCCCAGACCTAGGGCAGCCTCTGTGGGACCCTATCCCACCATGAGAGCATGCTACCAAGAGAGTTTTGTGAGTTCTAAGCTGGAGCAGGAACACCACTGAGCTCCAGCCACCCTCTGCAGAGCACAGAGGGGTGAAAAAAGGCTGAGAGCGGCTGCCAGCCTCGGGGAGCCTCTCTGGCCAAGGCCAACAACAAGCAGTGACAGGGTAAAGAGCACAAAGCTCTGTCCTACCCACCTAGCACCACCCGTGCTAGAACAGCTCAAGACATCTCACACAAGCTCCAAGGAAAGCTCAGAAAGCATCAGTGGCTGCAGGCAGGGCTAGTGTGAGCACAGCCAATGCTTTCCATGGACTAGCGTGGACTGAGGGAGGCTCTGTAAGTGTCAGGAGGTGGGCTGGGCAGAGAGGAACCGACTGCAGCTTAAAATACAAGGGCTCTCAGCGAGGAAAAAGGCGAGAAATGCTTTCAATAGCACAGGAAACACCCAAGATAAGTTATCACTCTTTCGTTTGCTTTGACTTTAAGCAGGAAGCCAAAACCTGAGGGGCCCGAGGTAAAATCCAGGCAGGTAACCCCAACACACAGGGAGGGGCCCCAGGGCTGTGCTGGCACTTGGAGGTGGTCTGGCTGGGTGTGGTGCACCACCTCAATGGAAATGATGAAGGCACCACTTAAGTCTAATGTCAGTATTGTGACTCATGTGTCTTATCTTTGCACCCATCCATTTTAGGACTTTTAACATTAAAAGGTTTCATCTTCCACATGAAACTATGGGCTCTGGAAGCCATTAGAAAAATGTGCTGCCCCAGGTACCAGGCAGGAGCCCAAGGGAGAGCACCATGCTAGGCTGGATGGCCGGGAAGAGAGCCAGCAGCTTGGCTTGGAAAGGACTGTGCCCAAACCTCTACACCCCGTGTTCTCACACTGCCAAGGGAAGCAGCAGTGGGGTTGCACACAAGCGTCCTGTGTCTCAGCTCCTGGGGGTTTCTGCTGCTTCAGGCAGGGGACTGCACTGCCTCTTGACCCTCTGTCATCATTTTGCCTCTCTAAGTCACCAGTGCTTTTGGAAACAGGACTGCCACCCTCCTCTGCATGGCACGTGACACCTTCTGTGGTCCCCACTGCAGACAGCCACGTCACGGGGGGTTGCTGAGGGGGTCCCAGCAGAGCAATTGGCACAGGAGGCTGCCTGTGCCCGGGGAGGGAGAGCTGCCAGGTCCCCAGGACAGCCAGGCAGTACCCGCTGGCACCTCACCCGTCTGAGCCCTCTCAGGAGGAGATGCTGGGTAAACACATTTATTATTCATTTAACCACAAACCAATATTTGCTTTCAGTTTGTGTACATGAGCCAGGGGGGGCTGGTGCCAGGACCCAGCCTAGGCTGCGACCGTGTGCTGGGGGCTCTGCCACGTGGCACCCGCTGGGCTGGCAGGGCAGAGGGCAGGGGCAGTGCCCACAGCACATCCCGCGGGCCCCACGCCCCCCTCCACCCCTTTCCTGCCGGTGCGAGCCCCGTCAGGCACAAGGGCTGTGCCAGTGCCTGTGCTGAGGGCACAGCCAGCCCATACCGAGCACTCCAACGCGGTAGTTCAGGGTGATGACAATCACGTTGCCATAGCTGGCCAGGATGCTGCCGTCTATCATGTTCCCCGTGCCCTCCATGTAGGAGCCACCATGGATGTAGACCATCACCGGCTTGGCCCCGCTGTCCCGGATGTCTGGAAGGAGAGGTGGTTAAACACGGCGCCGCACCGCTGGCCGCAGCACCCTGCCCCGCAGGCAGACCGAGTAAAGGGCAATGCCAGCTGCCAGGACCAGGGAGGGGGCTCAGGAGCCAAAGCCAGAGCTCTCCTGGGGGCCACAGCATGGACCCCCAAAGCCAAACACCACTGAACCAACCCTGCCAGCCCCTCTCCAGGAGGTGGCAATTGCTGCGCTGTCCCCACACTGCTGTCCCCTCAGGGGTCTGAGCACGTGAGGGAGGGATGCTGGCTGGACCCCGCTGCTCTTCCCCGGAGCTGGGCTCTGGCACGGTGTGGGAGCCAGATCGGGTCTGCTGTGGGTGGGAGTTGCAGAGTCCAGCCCCAGGATGCAGCCCCATGTCCTGTCTTTGGCTGGACCCAAGCGCTCCGTGAGTCCTGGAAGCTGGCATTGCGGAGGGGGGCAGGGATGGGGGTGTGCAGGACCTAGAAGGGGGGGCCACTGATGTGTGCTCCAGTGTCTTACTCTCCCACTCCCCATTCCCCTGGGAAGGCAGAGACCTGCCTGGCTGGATGTAAACCCACGGCACCCCAGTGCCCAGACACAGACATGGTGATGAGGCAGACAGTGTATGCACGTGTGCGTGTCAGGGAGGTGAGCACGGCATCTGGACGAGGACAGGACATGAGGCATGGAGTGAGGATGGGCAATGGGACCCCGAGGGCCAGGGAGGAAGGACGGTGGGAGCCTAGGGGACAGGGAGCAGCCACGCTCCCTCTCTCGACTTCTCCTGTCCAGGGGACATCCTGCCCCTTCTGCCCCACTGGCTGCTGATCCCTGATGGAGCTATGGCCACCCCCAAGGGAATAACATCCTGGTGCATCCTGCCCATGTCACACAGACGAGGCAGTTGCCCCCACCCTGGAGACATCGCCAGGTCCCACACGCCTGCGCTGCCCAGCCCTGTCCTGGGCTGGCGATCCAGGCCGATGGACTTTGTCCTCCCTTGAGCTCACTCACGCCCAGCACCTTGCTCAGGTGGGCTGGCAGTGCCTGCTTGGCCTCAGCTGCCCCAGGCAGCTGCTGCTCCCTGCCTGCCTGCCTCAGCAGTGCAGCACAGCGTCCCACCAGGACTGGCACCCTTGGGGCACAGCCACACCAACGCCAGTGCCCGGCTGGGCTGCTCGTGCTCCCTCACACCCACCTAGCCCCTGCCATGTCCACTCCTCCCTGTGGCCTGCCCATTGCAGGCTGGTGGGTATCTGTGGCCATTCTCACCTCCAGCTGTGGCTAAAGGTGGCCTCACATACAGAAAACCTCTTTCCTCCAGGGGAATGAGGCTATGCCAAACCCGAAACATGTGCTGGCTCTTTTACTATATGTCCCATTTTCCAGAATGCAGCCAGACAAATGCACAGACCAAGGCAGCAAAAAGTGCTTGCAGCTCCTCCAGGACAGACATTGCCTGTGTGCCACAGCTACATCAGGACAATTTCTTCCAGGACTACCTGCTTGAAATGTGAGGGGCAGGAACATCAGTGCCTGTGCCGGTGTCTTCTCCTCCATCCTGCACCCACTCCCTGACTTACAAAGGGCTCTCCTCACAGCAGAATGCAACAATGTACAGGGATGTACCAGGAATGAAACAGCGCAGAGCTGCTGCGGCACATTTTGGTGTGTGTGGATTTAGCACAGTGGAGTCACTTAGGCTGAACGCCAGTTTACACCCTGGTACAAGAGATCATGGGGCACAGGTTAGCTGGAGTAAACAACAGGGTTTTAGTACTGCCAAAGAAAAAGTTTTTCATCTATTTCCCAGATCTTAAATGCCATCTGCCAGGCCTTGTTCGAGCTGCCCTGGGCCTTCTGCACACCATGAGGCTTCACTGTCCTCAGCACATTAGGGCTGTACCCTGGCCAACCCTTCCTCCTGCCTCCTCATCACATCTCTGCAGCTAAACACGCTGACTCCATAACCTGCAGACAAACCACCCTGTTTTACTAAAAATAGCCTATTCTGCAGCTTGATTAGTCCTGGCATTCATCTAAAATCACATCTGCTTGAAAGGCCACTTGCTCTGTCTTGGCTGGTGCTTGCAAGCAAGACCTCACTTCCACTGGGTGAGGAAGGAGAGAAGTTCACAGAAACCAAGTGGACCCTGGGTCTCCTGCGCATGGCCAGATGCCCTTTGGGTATCAGGCAGTGCTCAGGCTGCCGGCACAGCCAGGGCAGGGCCAGGCAAGGGTGGATGGGGAGGTTGCTGGCTCCCAGATGCATGTCACTGACTCTGGAGGGATGAGGCTGGAGATGGGATGTGACCGGGCTCAGGGTGAAATGGGCCCAGGTGCCCGAGGGCTTCTCCCCTCCCAAACTGCCATGCTTCCTCCCTGCCCTCGCTCCAACCGAGCGGGAGCAAACTCCTCCTAAAGCGGAAAAACCCCATGAGCTGTCCCCGCCATCAGGAGGAGGGGAAGGTGCTGGGTGCCCTGCACAGCCGGCCAGCCTGCCCCCCGCCCCGCGCAGCTGCCTGGCACGGCAGACAGACACACACAGGGCTCCTGGGGTGGCAGCGGATGGCGGGAGCTGCTTTGCGTGTCATGCAGTGGCAGCCTCGAGCACAGAAATACCTTCGTCTTCATCACCGTCATTATCCGCTAAGTCCTCGCCCTGTTTCTTAGCGCTGGCTCCTGGGGACCAAACACGAGGAGACAGAACAAAAAGGAAAACAAAAGGAAATAAAAAGAAAACAACAACCAAAAAAAAAAAAAAAAAAAAAAAAAAAAAAAAAAAAAAAAAAAAAAAAAAAAAAAAAAAAATAGCATGACAGCAGAGACAGTGGGGCCACGCCTGTGCCCCACAGCACTGCTGGCTACTCACACTGCACCTCTCCCAGAGCCAGGGCAGTGCTGGGCACGGGCAGGGCTGCCCCAGGAGTGTGCCAGAATGCTGCTTCACCCGGGCCCCTTCCCAGATCCTCCCTGGGGAGGGCTGGGGTGGCAGAGAAGACGCGAGTGGGGCTGTGACAGCATCAGTGCTGGTGGTGGATGAGTCTCAAAGCACCTGCTGATCCTCCTGCATCCCAGCCTGGCCTCCACCTGGTCATGCACCCTCAGCTCCAGGCAAGGCTCCCTCTCCTAGCACCCAGCTCTGCTGCCCCTGGGGACAATTGTCCTCTGCAGAGCTCACACCAAGGGTTGCCTTGCATGGCCACTGACCACCGGGCAGTTCCTGCCCATCACCCCCACACGGTGTGTGGCTCCTTGTTGTGCCTGGTCACAAACCACTGGTACCACTGCATGAGACCACCACAGCACACAGGGATCCCCCATGACAGCTGCTCCCCTGAGCTGCTTGGCTCCATCCTGCCCAACTCCCTCCTTACAAGACATGTTCCATGTTTCACTGAGGATTTCAAAGGTAGCAATCAGCTTGACCTGACCAAGGCAGAATCCTAAACATATTAATTTCTGTACCATCTTGAATGCCTTACAGATGTTCTGTGACCCTTCACCAACCTGCAGTGCTGGGGCATGGGCCAGCCCAGCAGCCCCATGTGGATTGCTGTTGTGGATGGCTTGCGGTGAGCCTGGCACTCCTCACACTGCAGCCAGCAGGAGCCAGGAGAGGTGGCCTGGGGGCTGGCAGGGAGCAGGGGTGCTGAAAAACGTGGGCCTGGGCCAAACCCTTCAAAGGACCGCATGCCAGTGTAGACACAAAGGCAAGTGGTGCCATCCCTGTGCTCTGGAGCTCTGAATTTCAGGAAGAGGCTGGGTGTTCTCATCCTCTTAGAGCTGCAGACCAATGCCTGCAAGTCCTCTGCTCCCTAACGCCTGCTACAAAAAGCTCCCCAGGTGATGGTGAGCTCTGGGGAGACAGCAGGGTTTCCCCCAGGCAGGACTTATCCACACAGTGTCTGCACTGCCCAGTGATTTGCCCTGAGACAAGGGGCTCTGACACCCTGCCAGGCACCTGGCTAACCCCAGGGTCCTGCTGCCACCACCAACAGCTCCCATTGTCACAGCAAGGGCTTTCACAGCCCCCAGCAAAGCTCCCACCAGCAAGGGGCAAGCCTGTGGCTGCATGGAACTACAGGACTAAATGCAGAAAACTGGTCAAAAAGACAAAACTGGGGAGCCCTGCTCAGTCAGTCTGGGAGTGGCATTCTGCAGGTGACACGGGAGGTAGATAATGGAGATGGCGGCATGGAGTGGGACAGGATTTGAATTTACAAGGAATCTGTGATGGGGTAGGAAGAGATCTGAAATGGCTGTGAGACAGCTCCATCAGGGTGAGAGGCTTATAGAATGCCCTAAGCAGCCATGACCTGCTGGAGAAAGTCTGGAGGAGCAGCAACCAGAAACCTGGAAAAATCCAGCAGGCATGAAAAGTTTGCAGAAGGCTGGGTCACATGAATGCTGGGAGCAGAGGCATGATGGGAGCTGCAGCAGCATCCCAACACATGAAAGACTACTGTGAGGTGGTGAGGTGGAACAGCAAGTCCCTCTCAGGCAGCCCTGGGGCTACAGGAGGCAGGATGAGAAGAAAACCTTTCTGGCAGAAAAGGCAGCGAAGCACTGGAAGAGGCAGCCTGGGGAGGTGTTTGAGACCAGGTGGGACACACTGCCACAAAGAGGTGAGGTAGAGCTGCTCCTGCAAGGGCAGGGATGGATCAGCTCTCTCACGTGCTGTTCTGATGTTCCCCACCATGCTCCAGCCCCACCCCTTCACCTCCTGCTTCACCACCCAGCCATCCTCTGAGCATCTCACATCGTTCTCCTCTTTCCACCCAGCACCACCCCCATCCCTGTCATCTCCTGCCCCAGCACCTCAGCCCCAGCATCTTCCCCTTCTGCTGCATCCTTCCCACACTGCCTGCCCAGCCCACCCCCAGCCACACACTTGGCTGGGCATGTGCAGCCACTCAGCCTCTTTGCAGGAGGCTGCAAGCTTGACCTACTGTGTCTTCATTAGGAAGAGCTGCAAGCCCAGAAAGCACTTAAATGACAAAGTACTCATGCAGTATTTGCTAACCAGTGCTATGCACCCACCTCTTGGTACTTCTAAGGGATAGGGATTTTTCTCTAATGAAGACCACAGCCAGTGATGTGATCCACACCATCCTTCAGAGTTGAGAAGCTGACCACAGGCAGCTGGAGATCATTTTCCACTGCCAAAGGCCCTGGTGCTGTTAAAGCCCTGGGACTGGCCAGGCTGCAGCCCTCCAGCCTGGTCTCCTTCAGGGACAAAAGTCTCTGTGCAGCTGAGAATGGAGGAATCACCTATGAGGACTTGTCAGGTTGTAAAAGAGGGCAGTGGACAACATCTCTGTGACCTGAGCAACTGTCCTAGCTGAGCAGGGAGGGATCCAGCTGGAGACTGCTGCTGCAGAGCTTAGGGATGGCTGGGACAAGCCTCCAGCAACCTGAGCTTCAGGCACTGTGGAAGAGACGGCAGAAAGCAGCACTTGGGAAGCTAAGCAAAGCAGGAGAGCAGTGATGCAGGCCAGGGGAAGGAGAACAGCAGTGGCATGTGTGTGTGGCAGATGCAAAGCACAAGCCTCACCCATCAGCAGGAAGGTGCCAGGGTGGGAATGGCCAACACCGACTGTTGTGACCAAGGGGGCTTTTTGCCCTTGCTGCAGTGTTCACCTCCAGCACAACCCACCAATGCCCCACAGCTCGTGAGAGCAACCACAGCTTCACTTCCCTCACCCAGGAACACTTTCCACTGGCTCCTGCCATGTTCAGGGATACCCAGCCCAGGAGATCTTCCTCTGCTCTAACAAACATCACCACGCAGAGCCCTGCAGCAGCACCCACTCTCATGAGGATGGATTTAAGCCTATGGACTCACAGCTGGAAAAACTAAAGGGGCTCATGGCTCTTATTCTCCTTACCCATCAAAAACACCTTCCACTAACCCAGGAGGTGAATGTCTGTTGTCTGCCACTTCACTTTAAGCTGACTGCAAAGTGACATTGTTCAGGCCGATAGGAAGGATGCATACGCTCTTATCTGAACCACTAGGAAGATTTAAGTTCAACTTTAGTTAAAAAAAAGAAAAATCACTTTGCCTGAAACAGGGGCATCCATGCTGAATTTATTCTACCTTAAGTAAACCATACCAACAGCACTGACAGCAGTGCAAATAGAGATAAAGCAGGGTAAGGAGCCTCAGTTCTTGAGCCTTCATTCTCAGCATGGTGTGGATAAGAGAAGAGCAGGAGCCTGAGATGACACCTTTCCAGTTCCAAAAGTCTGTTCAGGGCACCCATAGGCAGCTCCAGCACCCTCTCCTCAGCGGGAGCTCCCTGGGGCACCCACTCCTGCAAAGCAGCCAGGATGCTGCAGGGAGCAGAGCCTCTGATGGATACATGCACCCAAATGGACACCTGCTGCCAGCCACAGCATCTCAGCTGCCTCTCTGGGAGTGACAAGGGACAGGGCCAAGAACGCTGCACAGCCCCACAGGCAGGGACAGCTCAGCTGGGACCTGTGTCTGAGAGCCCTCCCAGCCACCGGCCCTCGCTCCGGGACTGCAGCACACCCCGGTGCTGCCCTGCCCCTCCCTGCCCGGAATGATGCAGAGGAGTTATCGAGTTATCTCCATCCCTGAGCGGCCTCTGTAAAAGCACTGCATCTGCTCACGCTCTGCTGCCCCCGGCAGCACAAACGCCGACCCTCACCTTTGCAGATCGCTCCCCGGAGTGCAAGCGGAGCACCAGGGCGGTGGGCTGCCCACGGCCAGCTCTGCAAAGCAGCAGGCTTCGAGGGGGCTGGGAAGAAGCTTCCAGCAAGGGAAGCACTGCAGAATTCGTGCAGCTGTAGGGAAGCCTCAGCTGGTACTTGGACAAGTCAGCTTCTTAGAGAGCGGTGGAAAAGCTGCCCAAGAGCTCCCTGAGCCCAGGAGCTGCTGGGAGCTCCAGCCACCCTCACACAGCAGAGGAAGATGCTGGACCTGCACATTTGTCTCTGCAATGTCACAGACTCTTCGCAGTCCCAGCCAGAGAGATTTGGGCATTTGCTAATGAAAACCAGGAAGAGCTGCTAAGTGCAGGGCAACCACATTTTTCCCCTCCAAAAATGACATCCACCTCCTCATGCCCTGCAGCAAGGATTGCCCAGACTGGTGAGGAAGGGAAGGAAAAATCATCTTGGCATCTACCACAGCCAAAAAAAGGCTGGAAGTGTTGGCAGCACAAAGCATGGGGCAGAGCTGCATTTTGCACATAGGTACTGTCCTCCCAGGGTGTGTGTCTGTGTGCGTACATGGTCTTTGGGTGGGCAGCACTATTTCTGCAGCAAAATCTGAGCCTCAAATGAGCCTCAGTGCTGTCAGCTCCCCTGGCACCATGCATGGCTAGCTGCTCTCAAAGCACTGCTGCCCTGTATTGCTACCAGAGAAGGGACCAATGTGTATGGAGGAGACTGGCATTTAGAAAATTTCCATATAGGAAATGACTGTGGACAACTGGGCAAGGAAACAGGGATGTTTTTCTGTCCCAGAGATAAACAAGCATGACTGATAAATTCTCAGTCCTTTGTCTGCTCTGAAATACACAGAGCTTAGGGGTGGCAGTCATGAAAACTCCAGTAAGTAGGGAGCTGAGGCATTTTCAACCACCAAATACAGTTCTGTGAGAGGAGAGCTTGTCTGTGGCCTTAGAAATAGTAATCATGATTATTCCAGAATGAGTCAATGTTCAACCTGAGGAAATCAGCACTGCAGGTACATTACCCTCTCCCCAAGCATTACTAACCTAGGATACACAATGAGGAGTGTGGGAGCTTCTGTGTTTCATCACAAGTGACTCAATTAATTCAAGCCAACAGCTACCAGAGCCTGGCCAGAGCAGGAGGCAAGTGCCAGTGTCTGGGTGCTTTAATTCTTGGCACGCCACACCTGGATGTCCACATGGCTGGCACTGGGCATCTGCTGGTCCATGAGTCAACAGAGGCCAGTGGGGGCAAAGGGAATGTCCCCCACCAGCTCCCTGGGAGGTGACCAGAGGCAACGCAGACGGGCTGCAAAGAAACCCTGCCCGTGAGCAGAGCCAGCAGGGAGGGAAACCCAGGAGATGAGCACACCCAAGGTGTTTTGTCATGCCTGATATCATCCCCTTCTCTGCAGTAACCTGGAGGCTGCTTCCCTGGCCCTGGCTGTAGGGCTGGGGGTGGCGGGGGTCTGCCAGCCCTGGCAGCCGGTGGGAGGGCCGGGAGAGGAAGCGCTTTGAAGTGGCTGGTGATCACTGGCACAGCCGGCTCCGGAGGCAGCGTGCAGAGACTCCCTAATGCGCCAGCCCTTTCAGGGGCAGCCTTGGCACTCAGAGAGATGGCGTGTGAATAGCCAGGACAGCAACAGGAAAAGCAAAGCAAAGAAACCAAACAACAGAACTGGGGGAAATGGCTGGAAGGAAAGCGCTCCCCAAACCTCCAAGCCCAGCTGCACTGGCCCCGCCAAACCCAGGGGTGCAGGGAGACAGAGGCTGGGATGCAGGGATGCTGCTGCTGCAGGACGCCCAGGATAGCAGCCTGTGCTGGGCAGGCACCCTGTACTGAGCCTTTCAGAAGAGCTTGGCTGCCTGACCGTCCACACGTACATCTTGGGATGCACAGAGCAGTCAGCTCTCCCTGCCTGCACGGGGCTCTGTGGAGGGATGGGTGAGGCATTGTCTGACACGGGGCCCAGCCAGCTACCGTTTGTACACGTCTGCTCCCTTGTGCATGTCACTGGTTGGGAATACAGGATCATTTAGGGGCAATGGGGGAAGGTCAGTGGAGGCAAGGCAAAGCAGACATGTGTCTGAACTGGAGGTGCTCGGCTGCCCATGGGGCAGCTAGGGCTCAGGGAGGCCTAAGACCAAATCCTTACTGGCAGGACTGGCACTGGCATGGGGGTGTGACCAATAGGGAGCAGCCTTGGCAGGCACAAAGCTCAGGGCGGAATCTGCAGCATTTACACAGCCAGGAGAGGCTTTATGCTTTTAACCAAGGAGCTCTGGATGCAAAATGATCAGGGATGCAATGGGGGAAAAGCTCAGCCCAGGATGGACTGCAGTCCCCCATCACATAGGTCCTCCCCTGAGCAGGTCCAGACACCCCCCAGAGGGGCAACCCAGCCTAAGGGATGGATGTCTTTCAGTGCTACCTGCCATCAGAGGCTACCCCTCATGCCCAGGAGGCTGTCAATGCCAGTGGGATGAAGGTGGGAGTGCAGGCTCAGCCCAGGAGAAGCTGTTCTGAAAGGCCTGGAGCAACATGAGCATCCTCATGACCTGACCCCAGAGCTGTGCTCCCAGCTGGCCGGAGCATCCGTGGGGCTCCTCCCAGTGGGAAGCAGGGGGTGGCAGGGTGGGCTGCTTGGAGGGTCCACAGTCCGGGTGGCAGCACAGAGAGGTGCTGGAGGAGTGCTGCAGGCCAGGGGCCAGCCAGGCACCCTCTCACTCTCTCACTCTCTCTCTCTTTCCTCTCTGTGCCTCTCTGCCGGTCGGCTTGCTACATACCTCCTTTCCTACATATTTTCTTGTTGGGCTTTCGGGTGCATTCCTTGGAAATCCGTTTTACTGTAAAATGAATAAAAGACTACAAAATAACAGGAGGCTCCACTGATGGGAGTGGGCATGCAATCACAACCACGCTGCTACCCTCCCACCGCCCCCGGGACCGCGGGAGGTGGGGAGGGAGCGTCGCCATGGGAGGAAAACTCTGGGCCAGCCGTGCTGGGCGAGAAGGAAGGCATGATGCATTCCGTGGGCCCCAGAGACAGAGGAGTGGAGCCAGGCAGCCTGGGAGAAGCCACTGACCCGCCAGGCTGCTCTGCTGTGTGCAGCAGACCCGCTGCGGGTCCTTTCCGGCCCGCTGAAAATCCCTGGGGGCTCCTGTTGCGGTGAGGCTGGGGCGGGCGTGCGGGCAGGCGCTGCCTCCTCTGCCCTCTACTTACAGTTCAGGTGGGGTCCCCTACAAAGGAAAAGGTTAGACGAGGAGGCACCCAGCGCCGCTCAGCCTCACCCCAACAGGACCGTGCCCCGTGCGTCCCCAGCACGCCAGGCTCATCGCTCTGCCGCTGTCCCTCCGGCGGACGGAGGAGCAGCCAAGCGATGTGTCTGCCGGTGCACCCCAACCTCCCATCCGTACCAGGGCCCAGAAAAGGGCTCTGTGGTCCCTTTCTTGCCGGAGCATCTTCCCAGGGAGAGGCAGAGAGTGTTCCTCCCAGCCGCAGCCCACGCCCACAACTAGCGCATGGACCTGGGGAGGGTGGGAAGCAGGGAGGAAGGACGAACTCGAACCAACTCAAGACAGAACCTGGCACTCGGCGCCTGTGGGGAGCACAAATCAGCTTGTCACTCTGTGGATCTGCGGTCAGAGAGTCGGATTCAGATTTAGCAATACAAGAGAGGAACCCATGACGATGCCATGGAGGTGGAGAGGTGGGACCGGGAGGCGTGGAGGAGCAGGAGCACGCGAGACAGAGATGGCAGCTGAGGGCAAGAGGGCAAGCTGCGTGGCCAGAGAAAGCTTTCCACAAACAGACAGCATGCTGCAGGGTCCACAACCACATGCTTCAAACACAACACCCAGGTGAGACCAACCACTGCTGGGGAGGGGTGGAGTGACCCCCACCTCGCTCTCCTGTGGTCACCCCAGTGGGGACTCACCATCCTCCGTGGGGATGTAGATGTTGAGGTACAGACAGTCCTCGTTGGGGTCCTGGATGTACGTGGCCACGATATCCAAATTGGAGGTAAACCAGATGGGCAGCATGATCTCGGGAACGGCGTTGTGGATGTTCTGGGGGCAGACTGGTGAGAAGTGGGTAGCGTTCCTGATGCCCGACCAGGATGGTGGTGGCTCGGGGGGCATGAATCTCTTCTCCCCGACGGGGGGAGCGGCATAAGGAACCCCCAGGTACTGGTCCACGGGCCCCAGGATCTCACTGGGCAACGGCACGCGCACCCCTCGTAACTTCCCATAGTGCGTGTTGACAGTGGGCGAGTAGACCTGGCCCTCCATCTGCACAACCATCGAGGCAAAGCTCAGGACCCAGAGGGTGAGACGCAGGTCCCAGCTGGCCACCAGCTCAGGCACTTGGAGAACAGGGGGGAAGAGAGGGCTTCTCCAGAGTATCAGCCACATTGTCTGGGAGAAACAGCACCAACATCCAGGCCTGAAGCTCCTGGGACGAGGTCTCAGAGCAGCCCCATCACACCAAGCCTCCGATTTGCCCACCAGGAACAGACGGAGCAGAAGAGACAGGAGGCAGGGGTGTGCAGCCCAGCCACACCTTCTGCTGGGTGAGTCGGGACGCAGGGAGATGTGGCACCAGCTCCTCACAGCCTCCCAGCTGCCTGCTGCTGCCTGCCTGCCAGCGGCCCAGCCCGGAGGTGACTGCTGATACTGTGGAGAGATGGAGGGAATTAACAGCAGACTTGCTCTGGAAGAGTTGAAGACCTGCAGTGCAGAGGAGCCAGGATCTCTGGCTGAGCCTCCCACCCATGGGTGCTCATTGGCTCTGCCACCAGCCGGGCAGGTGGCTCTGGGAGCAGGCAGAAGCGGGCAGAACAAGCAGAGCATGTGCGGACACACACACTGTCTGCCCATGCCTGCAGAGCCTGTCCCAGTGCTCGGGGGCTGCCCAGGGTATGGGTGCCAGGATAAGCAGACAGTGCTGTGTCCCTCCCCATAAGGAGCCCGTTGGACACCACTGGCGCCAAGCACAGCCCCTGCACAAGACCCACTGGCACCTCTCCTCTCCTGGCTGAGCCCGAGCTGCCTGTGCTCCGTGCTTGGGCTTCAGCACAGCACTGCTCCCCTGTTCGGGGCAGCATACACCGGCAAACTGGCCCCACGCGTCCTAGCCAGGCGCCCATCCCGCCCACCAGCACGGTCCCCATCAGCTTTCCCCTCCACCGGCCAAAGCAGGGAGACCGCAGGCAGGACCCGGCTCCCTCCCAGCCGCTGCCGCCCCGGCGAGCCCGGGGGCAGAGCTGCGCTCCACGTCCCGCCCGGGCTGGCAGCAGCAGGAGCAGCAGCTGCGGCAGCCCCGCGGGGAAGGGAGCGCTCGGCACACGGGGAGCCGCGATGTGTCAGCGAGCAGAGCTCCTGTGCCAGGCGGCCCTCGCTGGAGGCTCTGTGCATCATCTGCCCTTCACCTTCCAGCACCGCCTGGCGCATCCAGGGCTTATGTAAGTGCCCCCCGCCCGGGCTCCCCCCGCCGGCCCCGCTGCTCCCGGGGGAGCCGGGCACCGGGAGCCGCGGGGCCGCACCCGCCCGGTGCTCCCCCGCCCCGGCCGGGCCAGCGCAGCGGCAGCCGCCGGCTCCGCTCCTCGGCGGGCGGATCGTCAGCCGGGTCCCCGCGGAAAGGCGGCGGTGGCTCGGGGGATGCTCACTCGTCCTGTCTCAGCCACACGTCCCCACCGTGGGAGAGGCGGCAGCCGTGGTGAGGCACCTCCGCTTTGCCCCAGGGCATCCTGACATGCCCACCCGGCAGATCTCTCCCAGGCTCAGAGGGGAGCAGAGTTGCCTAGAAATTATTGGAGCACAAAATAAGGGTTGTATGCAGATGGGAGTTTGCAGCTCTGGTGGAGGTTCAGTTGGGCAGGGATTCCACAAATAGAGAACACCTCATCCAATGAGGAAAATCCGCAGGAAAAAAACCCCACCGTCACCAAAAAAAACCCACAAAAAACCCCAAAAAACCCCAAATCTCCCTGACAGACAAACAGAAACCTACAAAAAATCCCACCCAAACAAAACACAACCAAAAACCCCCACAGAAGGTGTCTCAAATCTGTACTGCACATGTGCAGGCAACTCACAGCTGGTCATTAAGGGAATGGGCCCATGCTGTGCCTGCCCTCCTGATACACCCAAAGAACTTGGCAGCCTCAGAAATCAGGGTAACACAGTAAATAGAAACACTCATCTCAGAAAATCATGTTACTGCATTCAGCCCACCCAAGCAGCAAGGCCTCGCAGGGCTGGGCATGCAGGCACCTCTCCAGAGCCTGCCAAGGGAATGCAGGTAATGCCAGACAAGGAGGGCAATACATCTCTGCACATCACTCCCCTTCACCTCCTCCTGCCCCACCAGGCGGCCACAGAAACACACCAGCAGGAGCACGACACTGCTGCCTTATCCCCCAAACAGATGCCAAAGCCTAAGAAATAAAAGCTGAGTCAAGGGCCAGAAAAACAGCTGAGGCACCCCAAGCTCAGTTGTGCCCAGCACTGCTGGAGCTGCTCTGCAGCACAGTGCCTTGGCTGCCCTGTTCTGCCTGCAGCTCTGGAAGAAAACCATCATTCATCTCACATTCCTTGCTGCAATGCTCCTCTTTCAGCAGAGAACTGACCTTTGCCCAACAGCGACATCCCAGGGGTGTAGTGCTGGCCTGGGACCCCCCAAAAGTGCGTTCCCAAGCAGGATCTCAGAGGTGCTTCAGACCCATCACTGTGCCTGACGTTGCTGGAAGGCAAACTGCCTAGTGTAAATCTTCTGCTTAGGTTCCTTCAGGTACCACAGGTTAGGATAAAACTAATTATTAATGATTGTCATATCTAATTTGTATGACTGGAAGCTACAGGCAGCTTCCAGTCTTTATGATAGTGCATCCAGTGCTCCCTGCAGAGCCATTTCAACTGATCTGTCATCATTTTCTGTCTGCAGGAGCACCACAGCCCTGCCAGGGGCTGATTTCCCAGCTCCAGAGCTTCCTCATGGCTGCAGCCACACGCTGCCATGGGCACTGCTGCTCCACAACTCCTCCAGGAAAGCGATTTCACGGCACCAGGCAGTGCCACCGCACAGCTGCCCAGCTGGGCTGTGCACACCAGCCACAGGGCTGAATTCACAACCCACTTTGCACCCCTGGAGCTTCCGCATGCCCACTGCAACCATCCTGTCCTGACACAATGAGGAACCTCTTTTTACAAATCACAGCCAAAAAACTGCTTCTTGCTACAGCTCCTCAGAATTATGCTATGATGATATTCCTCTGGGTTTTTGTTTAATCCTCATCCATATCTGAAAAAACAAGGGAATCTGAAGATAAAAAAACCCCTAAGCTAAGATAGAATTAAGTTCACATTCTTAACTTAAACAAAATGATGCTACGGGACTTGAAACTGTCCCCAGTTACGAGCTTTACAAAGCATGAGGCACAGAGGTGAGTTCCAAAAGTGATAGCCAAATATGTCCAGATATGGAGATGCACAGTCAAGGCCCAGCAGCCCTAATGTTACTCTGGAGAGCCAAAAAGCCTTAACACTCAAACACAGCTCATGGTGTTTTAACATTTGTAATTCCACATTTGGTTCCATCATTTTTTAAAGACTCTTTGCCTCCATCTGCACATGTCCCTGCAGCACAGAATAAAGGCACCCAAACAATCTCAGTGACATGCTCCTAAGCCTTCCTATGTTTGGATTTTTTTTCAATTACAAACCCGAAAGACGATGCAAACCCTACATCTGAAATTCCCTGGGTTTCAAATGCCTGATTTGGGACAATTACAATACCCCTGTAACACATCTGATACCATCATATTGCTGTTCTGTGCTCTGTGCTTTCTGATGTAACTTCATGTTAACATAACATTTAGGATGGGAATTTAGCCTTAATTTAATGCTGACAGAGTGCCATAAAAACCCAAGCTTAATCCCTTCCACTGTGGGTTGCTGCATGTGCCTTGCATTGCTGCCTGCTGCCTCAACAGCTCTTAAGCTTCTTGGTCTTTCAAAGCATGAGAAAGAACTGAGAGACCAGAGAAAGGACATTTCGTTCAGGGAAGCAATTCCCTTCACATCCCATGGGAGGTGGGAGCAAAACTTTCCCAGTTTTGCCGCCTACAGCGCTCTCACTGCTGCCTCCAGCAGGGAAGCCAAACGTGTCCCCAGCGAAGATGGGCTGCTGCCTGCCAGGAGCTGTGCCTGCCAGCCAGAAATGAAACCGGGCTGGGCAGACACAGCCAAACTGGGAATGCTCACAAGCACGCAGGGAGAAACTGGGAGCACAAAGACACCGCAGGCATCCCAGGTCGCTCTGCCAGGCCGCTGGTGGGTGAGCAGAGGAAGTGAGGCTGCTAGCTGCTGGGGATGTTATTCATGTGCTTTGCAAAACAAATGCTCTATAGGTATTTCCACGGCCACACTGTCTGCCAGACGCTTCCTCCTCAACAAAGAGACGCTCTCCATGGAAACCTGGGCGGGTGGGATCCTCTGGAAGCCTCTCTGGCAGATGCATATTCAGGCATCTCGACACCAGCCAGACAAGCCGGATCCACACCTCCCCTGGCAGGCGGCCGAGGAGATGCCAGCAGCCAGCCCGCTCTCGTATTGGACCCTTCACGGGGCCCAGCCTCCTGCCCTGGAGCACCGAGCCCCAGCTCATCACACTCATGCTGTGGCTCTGTGTCCCACGAGGTTCAGAGCCAGGACAGATGGAGACCTCAAAGCACCCAGCTGGCACGGATGGATGATCTCCTTCCAACAGCGAGCAGACAGGATATCCCACTGCACCTTCCAGCCACTGTGCCCTGTGCAGCTCTGCTCTCCATCTGACCCCGCTGTACTTTGCTGGGGGCCAGCCCGTGCACCCCAGAACAAACATGCACCCAGCAAGCAGCATGAGAAACTTCTGCCTTCTCTTCTCCACCTGAGCTCCAAACCTTTCCAGCAGCCTGTGCTCCAGAGGTCAGGCTGGTGCTCGGCTCTGTGGCTCAGCACCTGCCAGACCCACTCCCCACCTGGCATCTTCTCTGCTGGGCAGAAATCCCAGCTCCCCCCCCAGCCTACAATACTGCAGAAAGCCCACAGGAAGCCCTGGGGAGCAGAGAAGCTGCAGCACAGCTGGACCTGTGTCCCAGCAGTCCTCCAAGAGCATCCCAAAGCCTGCAGGTCTCATCCCAGGTTACCCCTCCAGGCCACAGGCAGACATTTCCTGGTCCCACAGCACTGTGGGGCATTTCCCAGGTCCATCACAGAGCTGGTGAACAGTGATAGATGGCTCACAGTTACACTGAAAGGGACATGTAGGGTTTCAGAAAGGTCTGCCCTGCTGCTGCTGTTGCTCTGCTTTTCCATGAATGACCTAAATGACAGAACAGAGTACGTTTCAAAACCTGCACGTGACACCCCAGCACTTCAGAGGCCAGGATGGGAGTTGGAATGCTCCTGACAGACTGGGAAAAGGGCTGAGAGATGATGGGCAGGACTGTAAGGCACTGGGAGGCAAAAAACTGCACAAAGTGGCCAGGGAAGAAGAGACAGCAGCAGTTCTGCCACAAGGGTCATGAGGGCTACAGGTGAGTACAAACTGAACGTGAGCCAGCATATCATTGCCACAAAAAAAGGCAACTACAGGAGGAAGTGTGAAAGGCCAGCTTGCACATGAAGTAATT